GACGCATAGCAGGCAGGCACTGCAGGGCAAGGTCAGTGAGGCAGGGGGGCCCAGATGACGTGGGGCCTGTCAACCACAGCTGAAACTCCGCATTTTACTCTTCTTTCAAAGAGCTGTCACTGGAGGCTTTTAGCAGAGAGTGTTAAGATCTATTTCTGTAAAAGATCATTCTGGCTGTCGTGAAGAGAGGATATTTTAGAAAAGCACAAATACCATCAGGGAGACCCTCGGAGAGGTCAATGCAGCAGTTCAGACAGGAGGTAAATTAGAGGCTTAAGTCCCAACAGTGGAGTTGGCGATGGACTGGATGATGACGGAGAGAACCATGGAGTTATCCTTAAGTTTCTACTTTGGCAAGGAACAGACATTTGTGCTATTTTACTGAGGAGGGGACATCTGGGAAGGAATAGGCTGGGGAAAAGGGGAATACAAACCAAGTGTTGTATTCTGAACTGCTTCCCCTGAGACACCTTGATAAGGATGTCACCAAGGATGTTGGTCATGTGAGGCTGTAACTCAGAGCAGGGGGTCCATGACAGAGCTCTCAATGTGCAAGTTATCCACACCGATATGGCATCCAAAGCCAAGAAACAAGGTAAAATAGCATGCTTTCGTCATTTGCTGGGTAATAGAACCATGTCATCTAACACACTTCTCTTCCTGTTGGGCTGCCAGAAAATTCCAAAGTCAACATAAACCTTAAAGGAAAATTATTTGTGTGGGGATTCTAGATACGATGACTGAGCCCCTTTACTTCCCCTTCTCTTTATGGTTTTTTTTTTTAAGTCTTTATTAAATTTCATACAGCACTGCTTCTGATTTATGTTCTGTTTTTTTGGCCACAAAAAAAAACAGATCATGTGGGATCTTAGCTCGCCGACCAGAGATCAAACCTGCATCCCTTGTATTGGAAGGGGAAGTCTTAACCACTGGATCACCAGGGAAGTCCATCTTTATGCTGTTTAGTCTCTCATCTAAATCGTTTTTGTAAGTACGTGTACTATTAAAAACAGAAAGAAAATCTAAGAAACGAGGTGGTGCAGTGATATGATTCAGGGAGTCAGAAGGGCGGACCCCCACTCTGCCTTTGGTGAGCGTCAGTCACAGACACCTGACCACGGCGCTACCTTGAGTGTGCACTTTTCTGACGGACTGCAAGCTCCTCAAGGCCATCAGTCACACCCCAGTCATCTCTGAACCGTTGTGAAACGGCACAGTATCGAGCTCATAGGAGGCAGGCAATACATGTACACTAATGGCATCGGTCACTTTTTGATCCGTGGAAGGGGTTGGGGCCTTATGAGAACGCACCACGGCTCACCTCTAAGACGTTTTATACACAACACAGTACACGATTAAACACCAGTCAGCAATACAGACAGATGTTAGACATGCGGGTATGTCTTCAGGGCCTGGGTTGGAAGACTTCAGGCAGGAGAAAAAAAACTCAGCTGGCTTTAAAAGATGTATTTGCATTTGATCTGTGAAAAGGCATTTCAGAGGTTAGCCAAAGAAAAAGGGCAGTAAGGAGGCTATTCTGGTTGGAAGGAAAGAAATGAAGGGAGGAAGAACCAAAACAAAAGAAGTATTGGGGAAGGGAGCTGTAAAAACCAATTAAGGACACAATGTGGATATCCTTGAGTGCCAACAACTTCATGTTCTAAAACATTACACATTCCTGGGAACTTCAAAAAATGTTTAAGGAAGATCACACAAATTCAGTGTGTAGAATAGATCAGTGTTAACTTAGTTCAGGCACAAGTTAGTAAGAATCTGATAAAAACAAAGGATACCACAGGTTCTAAAAAGTCTTAGTGAACACAACTTGGTGAGTGATACAGAAACCAAGAAGCAGATTTAATATGGGATTTGAGACTAAGGAGTCAGGAGAACAGCAGTACGATTAACAGAAATCAAGGAGATAGGAGGAAGTGATTTTAGAAGGTGATTCCATCAATTTTAGGCAGAATAAGTTTAAGGTGACAGTGGCTAGACCCTATCTCCAGATTCCCACTACTTTACAGCATAATGTGCACACAATCTACCAAAGTCCTTGCTGAGGAAAATCTCCCTGAGCAGTATTTCTCCCTAAACATAACAGAAAGAAACTACTGCATATAATGCAGTGTCTCCATGGCTGCAGAAGCAAGTTTTACTTGATAAAAATCATAAATAAAAAAATAAAAGAATGCCAAAAATTACCTACTTTTACAAAGCACTGTGATATCACATTATATGTACGTTAAAAAAAAAAATATGAGAAGATGCTCAACATTATTTAGCCCTGAGAAAAATGCAAATCAAAACTGCAATGAGGGAACTTCCCTGGTGGTACAGGGGATAAGAATCCATCCAACGACACAGGGGACACAGACTCAATCCCTGGTCTGAGAAGATGACACACGCCAAGGAGCAAAGCCCGTGTGCCACAACAGCTGAAGTCTGTGCACCCAGAGCCTGTGCTTCCACCGCAAGAGAAGACACCACGATGAGAGGCCTTTGCATCGCAACGAGGAGGAGCCCCAAGCAGAGCGAAGTCCGCGCACCCAGCCCAACCTGCATAAACAAGAACTGCAAGGGGACTTCGCCACCAGCCCAGAGGGTACGGCTCTGCACTTCCACTACAGGGGGCAGGGATTCCACCCTAGTCAGGAAACTAAGAGCCCGCATGCAGAGCGGTGTGGCAAAAATAAAAGACAAACACAAACAAAAAACCTGCCATGAAGATACCAGTACACAGCTATCAGAAAAGCTAAACTTTAATAATAATAATAAGCAACGACATGGATGTAGAGCAACAGCAACTCTCATACATGATTAGAAAACGGGACAGCTCCTTTGGAAAACACTGCGACAGTTTCTTAATAACTTAAACTTACATTCTCCGTAAGATCCAGCAATCACACTTCTTGGTACTAAACCAAGAAAAACAAAAACATATGTCCATACAAAAATATCCTTATGCAAATATATATAGCAGCTTCATCCAAAATCATCAAAAACTGAAAACAACTCAAAAGTGTACCAACTAGTAACTGGCTAGGCAAACTATAGTATACGCACACAAGTTACACTCAGTGTCGACAAGGAGCAAACTACAAGTATGGGACCGAACAGAAATGAACCTCAAAAGCATCACATTAAATGAAAGAAGCCAGGCACAAAATACTCCACAGTGTGCGATTCTATTTATATGAGATTCTGGAAAAGAGAAACCTACAAATATTCTGTATCATGTTTAGGGTGGTACTCATTATTTGCCAAAACCTATAAAAATGTACACTTACAAAGGTTTCCTATATGAAGATTATACCTTAATACATCTGACTTGAAAAAAAAACCTTAGCATCTGAACACTGGTTCAAAAAAAAGTATTAAAGCCCAACATTGGCATCTATGATAACTCTGAAAAATTCTAGACATTTCTTAACTAGTTACCATACTACAAATGTCCTGAGAACTGAAAAGAAAGAAGCCCCATGCTTTTTCCCTCTTTGGGCCTCAAAACATTCCTGTGCAGAGACCGGGCCTGGGGAAGTCAGCGAGTGTGCAGAAGCTACGTGAATGCTGGTTACTGAGACACTACTAAAGTGAGTCTTGTTTTCAGGACAGCTGTTGCTTCGTTGTTCTTTTGTCACACACACAAAAAGAGAGCTGTTATGCTTATGGAATGTGACCTTCTCATTGGACAGCTGTTACATCACGCCTGGAAACACTGCCAGAGAAATTCATTTTCCCTGTGTGCCACACAGAAAACAGTAAAAGCAAAAACAAACTAAATAACCATGAAAGACCCCAAAACCTGCGTTAAACAAACTGCATTACTCCTTAAAAACCAGATCACTTATAAGAAGTATTTCTCAATACTAAATACTGAAGAGCTTATTTTTTGAGTAACGTTTTGTCTCATTTTATTATCCTTAGTGTATAACCTTAACAGACTATTTTTCAGACTCCAAATAACTGTTACTCTTCCAAAGACATTTTCTTTGAGTGTGCCATGATTATTAATACTCTACAATACTGAGTTATTCCTTCATTTTTTGTAATATCAAGTGCCTACCTAGGAACTTTGCCATTTTACAGTTTGGTCAAATTCTAAATCATTTTCATTTGCACAAGGGCTTTCAAATTTTTTTGATCATTATCCACAGTGAGAAATACATTTCACATTGCAACCCAGTTCACAGATGTGTGCATATATGTGCACACAATTCGGTTTGACAAAATAAGACTTATTAACCTTACCTCAAGATGCTATTATTTTCTTTTTATTGTTATCTTTAAAATGCTGGCAAACAACCACACAAGTCACAGCATGGCCCACAACTTTCAGAATCACTGCACCAGAAGATGAAAAACAAATACAACATCTCTTCGTGTTTTGAATAATGGCTTTCACACATTCATTTAGTTGGGTTTTTTTTTTTTTCAATCTATGCGTGACATTCCTCACGGCTGACTCCCTACACTCTGCTCCTGCTCAGGCTTAGTGAGGGTTCCTGAGCCTGGAGAGCAGGGAAGATGGAAGGGACCTGAGGAAGACAGGGCCCCCGCTGCTCCCACTCTGGCCCACTGCTAGATGTGGGGGTGGGGGGAGGTCCTGGCCTTCTAGGCCTATAAGTACCCACAGCCTGGCTCTCCTTCCTTTTCCATTTACCCTCACTGTTATTCCTTAACCTCTACACGCACACAGCGAACTGAAATATAATTCAACTGGGTAGAAAAAGAGCTTCAACACACAGGAAAGTAAAGTTTTTCCCAAACATCTCAGGATTTCAGTTATGCCTACCATATGCTTCTTCCCCATATACCACAGATACCTAAACAAGTTCAAAACAAGTTTACTGGCATGTAAATTCCACTCACAAAATGAATCCAACTAATGATTTTGAGTTTTTAAATCAATAATCAATATTATATTCCAGTATTCCATGCTGAAACTAGTGGGTATTTATTATAATTAGACAGCAATTTTAAATGAAGATCAGGAAACTTACTTTTAAGGACTCCCACAAGGGAAACTGGACCAATGAGAAAGGAATCTGCAGAGAAAAAAAGGAAAACCAAATAAATTAGGCCAGAAAGATCAGTTTGCTTAGCATGACCATATGAACTTATAATTATTATTCAGAAACATTATTTCATTTTAACTTTATGTACATAAAAAATTACCATTAAACAAATTTTTAAGTAAAGAATTAAACAGTAACTGCTTGTAGAATCTACTGACTTTTTAAGCACAAGGGATATAAAATGATGCTGTGATGCCCTCTTAAAACTGAAATAGGAGTGCAGTATGCAGAGTCTGGCAACTGAAAAAAAATGAGAAAATAAATACCTTCCATCACAAGTAATAAAGCTTTAAGGACGTGACATTTTTCTGCTTTAGAATTTTAGCTGTCTGCAGGCCAGGTGTCAGGGTTGATGAGAGAAACTGGGAGGGGGTAAGAGAAAGAAGTTGAGGCAGGACAGGAGGAGGAGTGGAGAAGAGAAGGGGAGAGCAGGAAAGAAGAAAGGGAAGAGAGGAAAAGAGGAGGAGGGAGAAAAAAGGGATGCAGGGGGCGGAAGGAAGAAAAACAGAGGGGTGAGGCAGGTGGATGGAGGGACAGAGCAGGAGAGAGGGAAGAGGAGGCAGGCAGAGCCGCTTGCAGGGGGAAGCTGAGAAGAGGGATCCAGGGCCAGAGCCCAGCGTGGGAAGGAAGCAACGCTTCTCTGTGCTGGATGAGTGAGGGCCCTGAGCAGACAGGAGCAGAGGTGGCCTGAGAGCCTGATTTAGTCTCAAGCTTCGTCAGGGACAAGAGTCATCTCTAGCATGAAGACAATCAATGCACTTAAAGATTTACAATCAGATGTGTATTGATAAGCTAGAATTGTTACCAAGCACGTTTCACATGCCAGGAACTGTGTCTATCAGCACTTCACAGTTCTTTTTCACTGAATCTTCACAACAACCCAGTGAGACAGGTATCATTACCATCCCCATTTTATAGATGAGGGATGGAGCTTCAGAGAAGCTGTTTAACTTGCCTAAAGATAAAGAGTTAAGAAGTAAGAAGCCTAGACCATCTGACTACTAGACTACCTAAGACACCTAAACTGGATTTATCTGCATATAAATTCACCCCCAGTATAATCCATGTGCTTTTAACTAAATCTTCTAAAATTCTAAAAAAAAGGACCCTACCTTCATATTTCCTAAGATAAAAATACCTGAACTTCAGGGGACCCTACCCAGTAGCCTAGATAATCTCCATGCACTGCGCACTGGTCCCGAGAAAGAGACGATTTTGCTCAAGCAGACTATGGCCCCAGAAATGCTGCTCTGTACCCAGGTCAGCTGTCAGTGAAGAGTAAATGTGGACTCTGACCAGTAACAACAGGCACAGGGGTGTGTGTGCGTGTGTGGGTGTGTGTGTAGACCACAATGTTGAAGAGATTAATGAGTATTTATCTTCCAGTGAATTAAGAGTGTTAACTTATTTCTAAAATATTTATATTTAATCAGAAATTAAGAGTCTAGCATCAGCTTCTTCCTCTGCTTGAAGAAATAGTGGCCCTGGGACAAGTGTCCACAGAAAGAAACTGGGCCTTCCATTCAGGCAGGAAATGGCAGTGAGGAAAAAAATAAAAATAAAAAAGCCTATGTCACTAAGCTAGTTTAAGCTGACAACCTAAGAGTCTCAGAGAAGTCTGTCATCTTCATAATTAAGCAGCACCCCATCCTGTACATCAGAGTACCATAACAGGAGATAAATTTAGTTGAGTTTCTGTTACCAAAACATGAAAGCATCTGACACTGTCCATTCTGACAGTAGAGTGCTATATTATCAATTATCAAAACCAAAAAAAACTGACTGTAGTTTTCTTTTTCTTTTTTTGGCTGTACCGCACACTTGCGGGATCTCAGTTCCCCAACCAGGGATCAAACCTGGGCCCCCTGCAGTGGATGTGTTGAGTCCAAACCACTGGACTACCATTTTAAAAAATTTATAACATGTAACAAAATGCCAAAGAGGACTAACAGTTAGTGGGATTATTGTTTTTGTTCAGTCGCTAAGTCTTGTCTGATTCTGTGACCCCCATGAACTGCAGCATACCAGGCTTCTCTGTCCATCACTGTCTCTCAGAGCTTGCTCACACTCATGTCCATTGAGTCCGTGATGCCATCCAATCACCTCATTCTCTGTTGCCCTTTCTCATGAATGGCAAACCACTTCAGTATTCTCGCCTTGAGAACCCCATGAACAGTATGAAAAGTGGGATTACAGATTATTTTAATTTTCTTCTTTGTGTTGTCTCCTACCAAATGTAAATATATTACACTTTAATAAGAATATACATATGTCACAGTTATAAAATGAAAAACACCTTATAACTTATTGTAATGGTCCATGCTAGCTTTCCTCACTTCTTGATTAAAATTAACCCATAAAACTGCACTGTATGTTATTGGCACTTTTTTGATACTTAATAAATAATACCAGATTTTGAATACTATAGATGGACATTTTGCCCATTTTTCTCTATTAAGAGTTATTCATTACTTTGTTACTTCAATTTAAACAAATAATTTTGAAATCACACATTTGAAATGGCCAAAACTATTCCATAGAGTATTTATTTCAAAAAGTCAGCCGACAGTAAATCCCAACTTTACTCTAAAACAAGATTAACTGACAGTCTCAGGTAATTAAATGTGCTATAAATGCTTGAATAATTAAATGTATTTTTGACTTCTGGTAACGAAATATTCTTCATAAGATAAACTCGTGATGTGTGAAAATGTTTCAAACATTCTTCAAGTCAAATTCATATTGAATGTGTCTTGTCATTTACAATATGAAGAAATAATGAAAATGTGTTCCACACATGTTACAGTAGTACTGCCAGCAAATATGGCTCCCCAGCTAAAACAAACACTCCCAACTACTACAGAAAATGGGCCAGTCAGAAAGCAAGTTCCCTCCCCAGGTCTGGTTTGTAGTTTCAAAACAATGATGTTTCTTCAAAACATGGAATCTTAAACCCTAAACAGATGTAAGCTGTTATTCTAAAATGTTTTATAGATGAAGAAAATGAATAGCTGCACTCAGAGGTCTTGTATTCCAAAACACAACATACCCATTTTATTGCACCAAAAGTTACAAAAATGGCTCACTGTTGTGACCTTTTTAATGACTCCATTTAAGATGTTTTGTTTGAATAAGGCTGCTAAGACCCAGGGCACTAATAAGTGAGCAGCAGTAAACCCAACTACCATCAAAGAGGCAGATGTAGAGGAGGGAGAACCTGCTGGAATTCACCATGGATTCCACTGGTAATAAACACAGCAATAATTCTACACAAGAGTGCATATAAGGATTCCACATGAAGCAGAGAAAGTGAAAGCTGAGTGGTAAACAGGGGAAGTGTTGGGCATTACTAATGAAATAAACAAGGTACAAAAATTATATAATCGGCACACTTTCCCTATTACCAAGTGCTTCTACTAGAATTATCTTTGAAGCCAATCAGTGCTGACAATCCTGTGATCTTAAATGCCTATAACCCTATAGTCCTTGATCAAATAATGTGACTTACAATATAACTGAAGGGATATGAAGATATGATTTCTAAAGTCTCATTTGCTCTAGAATTCTATGTCTCAATAATCTTCCAAATTATTAACAGAATACCAACATGTTAAAAAAAAAAAAAAAAAAAAAGACTTGATTGTAAGCTGCAAACAAGTGACCCAAAGGAAGTCTCCTTTCTGCTGCAAGACAGTGTCCAAATTTCTGTGTTTGATTTCAGGTTTTCCATTCTAGTGTTGCAAAGATAACAAGGCCAGATCTTTTGTTACATATTCTGGTTTTTTCCACTCAAGCCCAGTGGTAACCAAGGACAACTGAATTTGAAGACCAGAAAGTATTTTTCCCCAAAGTGACTACTATTCTTTTATAAAAAAAAGAGAGAGACTCATTCAAATCTGGTCTGCTAGCATTTGACATACCAGAAAAGAATTCTAATAATACATATTGATTTTTTTAACTTAGCAACTATAATTCACTTACACACAACTATATATAGAGAACAGAATGTATACCTAGTAAAGGAAATTAACCTAAAAGTAGAAAAAATTTAAAGTGACTCACCCCACAGGTCTATAAACCATACTAAAATTCTGGAAGTATCTTTCCAAATACAGCACTAAGTGGACCCAAGAGTAACAAAATCTAAATTAGGGGAGGAGATGACAGTAAGCAGTTTGATTCTCAAGTAAAAGTTAATCTCAAAGGCAAGAGCACTAAGAGTATTAAAACTGGTACAAATATATAGTAAGCAAATCAGTGCGGTAGTATACAGACAATGGAACAGAATGAAGAGTCCAGAATTAAGCCCTTGCCTATATGTTCAAATGATCTCTAACAATAATGCCAACAACATTCAATGGGGAAAGGGCAACTTCCTCAAAGACTTCCCTGGTGGATCAGTGGTAAAGGGTCTGCCTGAAATGAAGGAGATACAAGAGACATGTGTTTGATCCCTAGGCCAGGAAGGTCCCCTGGAGTAGAAAATGGCAAGTCCTTCAACTATTCTTACCTGGGAAACCCCCATGGACAGAGGAGCCTGGTGGGCTACAGTCCATGGGGCCGCAAAGGGGTTGCAAAGAGTTGGACACAACTGAGCGTGTGTGCGCACACACACTGTCAGGAAAACGGATATACACATACAAAGGAATCAAGTTTGAGCCTTACATTATACCGCATACAAAAAGGAGCTCAAAATGAATCAAAGGAAAAAAAAAAGAATAAAAGATCTAAAGGTAGGACCTAAAACCATAAAACTCCTAGAAGAAAAAAGGGAAAAACCTTCATGATATTAGCTTTGGCAATTATTTCTTGACTATTACACCAATTCACAGGTAACAAAAGTAAAATTAGACAAATTAGACAAACCAGACAAAACTAGACAAACAACTACATTAAAATTTCAAACTTTGCATCAAAGGACAAAATCAACAGCTTGAAAAGGCAACCTATGGAATGGGAGGAAATATCTT